GTCTAAGGTTAACTTTTATTTATTTTTCTTGTGTAATGTCCTTGCCAAAATTTCAATATAAGGTTAAATAGAAGTGGTAAGGGTGGACACCCTTACCTTGTTCCTAATGTCAGGAGAAAAGCTTTTAGTCTTTTGCCAATAGTATGGTGTTAGCTGTGGGTTTTCCACAGATGTTCTTTATCATTTTGAGGATGTTGCTTTCTATTCTTAGTTTATTGAGTATTTTTATCTATGTTTGATCTTGTTACTTTTTCTGCATCCTGAGATGATCTTATAGGTTTTTTTTTCTCTTTACTATTTTAATATGGTATATTAAATGGATCAGTTCTTTAATGTTGAATTGCTTCTGCATTCTTGAGATTAATTCAAACTGGTCTTAGTGTGTAACCCTTTTAATAGGTTGTTGAATTCTATTTGCAGTTCTTTTGTTGAGGATTTTTGCATCATATTTGTAAGGCACGTTGCTTTATATTTTTCATGTTAGTGGCTTTGTCTGGCTTTGGATTAGTGTGATACTGGCCTTATAGGATGAGTTAGGACATGTTCTCTCACCTGTTTTTAGAAAAAGTATTACAAAGATTGATGTTAAATCTTTCTTAAATATTTGTTAGAAGTCACCAGTGAAGCCATTTGATGCTGCGATTTTCTTTGTGCAAGATTTTTTGATTACTGATTCAAACTCTTGATGTAGGTCTATTTGATTTTCTATTTCTTCTTGAGTCAGTTTTGGTAGTTGCATATTTCTAGGAATTTGCCCATTACAACCTGATTTGTTGGCATACAATTGTTCATAATAGTCTCTTCTATTCTTTTTTGTTTTCTTAAATTCAATAGTAGGTCCTTTTTTCATTTCTGATTTTAGTAATTTAAGTCATTTTTCTCCCTTTTTTATTTTCTTCAGTCTAACTAAGGTTTGTCAATATTGTTCATTTTTTAAAACTAACTTTGGTCTGATTGTTTTTCTCCATTGCTTTTCTATATTTTATCTATTTTCTTTCTAATCTTTTTGTTTCCTTCATTGTGCTTGTTTGGGTTTAGTTTTTTTTCTTCTCTATCTGGTCTCCCAAGGTGAAAGTTCAAGTTACTGATTTGAGATTTTTCTTTCTTTAGTGATTTCTTTACTCATTGATTACTTGGAGTGTATTGTTTAATTTAAATATAGTTATGAATTTCCCTATTTTTTATGTTAATTATGTCAAATTTTTTTCCTTTTTGGTCATAGGACATGTTTTCTATGTCAGTTATTTTAAACTTTGAGACTTGTTTTATGGCCTAAGTTTACTCTGGACAATGTTTCATGTTCATTTGAGAAGAATGTGCATTATTCTGCTGTTGAGTGGAATGTTATTGTACAGTTGTTTGTTCCTTGTTGGTTTATACATTGTTCAGTCTTTTTTTTTTTTTGCTTTTGTCTAGGGGTTCTTTTCATTATTGAAAATTAGGCAAATGTAATACCAGTGGTAGTAGTAGTAACAATACTTTATTTTTATCTTCACTAACAAAATCACTGTATGCATGTTCCTCACTTTCAGATCCCTTTATACAGGTTACTCAATCTTTTATATTACCAGTCTGAAGATAAATGTTATATTGTCATCATCTTTTATCCTAGAGCTTATCAGAGTTTGGCATATAGTAATTGTTTAAATAAAACATAATATTTACTGAGAAAATTTGGTATAAAATAATCATATCTGGGAAAATTTTAGGTGATAAATAACTAAATTTCATGGTATTTGGAGAGTCTACATCATCCACCTTGAATTATGATAAATAGTAACTGAGTATCTATCTCTACATTATTTAAAAAAATTTTATGGTATACATTTTTAATATAGTAGCCAGTATTTTAGTTGTGATACATAAAATGATGGCAGAAATCCATTATGTCAATAATGAGAATTTCAGCATAAATCCTTAAATGTTTGTCAACAGCTATTTTGTGTACTAAGTCACTATGCAAAGCACTAGATTTCTGTTCCTTCTAGCTGAGAGGCTAGTCATTGAACAAGTGTTCATTTTCAATTAAAAAATATGTCATATAACATTTTGATCATCTGTAAAATGTCTCTAAGAAAAGATCTTTTATATGAATTTTATGCTTAATACATTGCACTCTGTGTGCTCCTGTGTGTCGTTATTCAGGACCATAGTTACTGAACGATCAAACTTTATAATCGAAACGGTGCATATTCATCTTCAGTTTGTAATTAATTAGATGAAGGAATAATACATTCTCAGTTTTACGTAGTTGGATCTAGGTTAGTTTGCTTTGCTTTGTACTACTTAATCCTAAAAAGCTTTTTGAATTTTCTGGTCCTCAGCTTCTCAATTCTAAATGGAAGAGATTGTTTAGTAAAGGGTATTGTCAAGAGAGAAAAAAAGAAGTAAATATTTAATTTTATTTATTTGTTTAGGTGTCATTAATATACACTTACATGAGCAACATTATGATTAATAGATTTCCTCCATTATCAAGTCCCCACCACACACCCCATTACAATATTTGATTTATTAAATCCTTAAAATGCTGATTTTAGTGAAGTTCAGCTTGTTTCTTTACTTCTGGGGTATATTAGAGTTTAATATGTTAATATATATTGTTAATGTCCAAAATTTGTTTGACTGTGGTAGCCTGTTTTATGTATGCTTCTCATATAACAGTGGTCCTAAGGTAGTTCTATATACTTCCCAATAACTGCCTAAGATACTTTATTGTAGTAAAAAAAATTACAGAATACCAATTTGTATTTACTTTTTTAAGACCTTGAATAGGAAAAAAAAAACTATGTTAATACTTAGATCATGGATTGATGTCTTTGCCTTCCCAAGTCCATACCAGTTCCGTACCATTTATGAGATAACCTGACAGGAATGGGAGTTCCAGGGTGATGAGTTGGCAGCGATTCTCTCGTTTGCTTGCTTGTTTTCAGTGTAATATAATGCATGAGCTTGCTTAACCCAGGTAATTGGAGTTAGCTGTTATATTCTCTACTAAAACAACTCTCACAGAAATAGAAAAATGACTTTCAAAAGATGGCTGCCATGAACCATAGATTGATCGTCATAACAAGTACCCCTGATGGTTCTTTATGTTTAGGTAATTTGGGGAAATAGTGGTTTCATTGCAATAAGATACATAAAAGGGGTATACAAGAAAGGGGAAATAGATGCTCATAATGAAGTAGAACCTGTTCAATCAAAAAGGCATAATGACTGAGCGGATTGAATGAGCAAGCGTTTAGCAGTAAATGAACAAGAACAATTGGCATTTTCTTTTACATAGAGTTGAAATTGAATTTGCTCTTTAAGTCCACTGAGGTGATGATGTAGTCATTCCTTGCAAATCATTCAGGGTCCCAGGCTGGCAGAGGCTGTGCTGTTTGCTACAAGTGGCTTTCATTGTCATCTTGGGACTTGGCATGCAGCGAACAAATAGGGGAAGAAAGGATTGTGTGGGAGGTTTTTGTAATCCAAGGTTGAAGTGGTGTACATCACTTCCACCAACCTGACATTCCTAAAATATATCTCAGTTGGTTGAGTCCCCACCACACACTGGATTCAATTTGATGGTACTTTGCTTTCAATTTTAGTTTCTATATTCATAAAAGAGATGGGTCCATAATTTTATTTTCTCTTAAATATATTTCAGATTTTTAATTAAAGGATAAGCTGTCCTAGTAAAATACATGGGGAAACAGTCTTTCCTTTCCTATTCTCTGTAAGGGTTTGTGTAAGAATTCTGTTACTTCTTTCTTAAATGTTTTTTAAAATTTACCTGCTAAGTTATCTCAGTTTAGAGACTCTGGCCAGTTTTGTTTTTTTTTTTTAATTAATACAGCTTCAATTTCTTTACCATATATAGGATTATTCAGATTTTTTTATTTAATCTTCTTTTAGTTCAGTTAAGTTTTTTCATCTAGAATTATATATTCATTGATATAATATTTTTTAATATCCTATTTTTTTAGAAATATCTGTTGGTTATATAATAGCCTGAATTTATGTATGATGTTGGAAATTTGTGTTTTCATTTTTCATCACTTTATTTTATCTGTTTACTTCATTTCATTTTTTTTCTCCTTTTCTTTGGATTATTTTTTAAAGATTCTTCTGTTAAATGTCTATTTGATCATTTTACTCTGTCCCATGCCTTCTTAAAGTTTTTTTTTTCCCTCACTGTCTTTTTGTTCTTTAATCTGGCATTCTGCTGTGTCTCATTACTGTTTCTCTCAATATTGAATGTATATTTCTCAGCTGTGGAACCTCTATTTGATGAATTCTAGGTCTCTGTTGAAAATATCCTATCCCTTTTCTCCATTTCTCCTCCATTTTTTTAAACATATTAATCACACATATTTTAAGCTCTTTGGTAACTAATACTGAGTCACCCACAGGTCTATTTCTTCTTTCTTCTCTGGGCTTTTTGGTTTCATCTGTTGTCATCTCTGATGCTTCTGTCTTGAAAGCTACACACTGTGTTTGAGAAGTTGGAGAGGCTCTTTTAGGATGTTTACCTTCTCCAAAGAAAGTTCATCCTTTCCTTTCCTAGGAAGGTAAACTGGAGGGTTGATAACCTTAATCCAGTGGCTTTCAGACTTTGTTATATATTAAACTATTGGTATGTGTGTTTCCTTGGAAGCAGTTAAAAATATGAAGAGGCCCAGGCTGGTAGAAGTACGACAGGGCCACCTGTCTCTTGATCGCCCAGTGCCCCAAGGGGTGACACCACTGCAGTATGTTACCTCACCTCTCAGCATGGTTTTCCTTTCTTAGTTACTGTTTCTCTCTAATTTCTCTTTGCCACAGCCCTCCATAATGCTTTAAACAGAACTTTTTTCTTTTTTCTCTTTTTTTTTTTAAATAGCTTTTCTCTTTGTTTTCAGCTGCAGCATTGGTGTGCCCCAAGCCACTCTATCTTTCATGGAAGATAAAGTCAATGGTTTTATTGTTAAGTAAACATAAGAACAAATCATGGTTTAGTTTCTTTTTTCTTCCAGGAAAAGCATAAACAAGAATTGGAAGATATGAGGAAAGCTGGTCATGAAGCCCTCAGCATTATTGTGGATGAATACAAGGTAGAAGTTTGAGAATCTTTATTCTTTTAGTAAGAAACTTACACACATAGGAATATGCAAACATATGCTACTAATAGAGTTACGGTGTAGTCTTATTTGGTGCAGAATTCCTTCCAGTTGACTAATGATTGATCATTGAAAGCACACTTGGTAGATTACAAAGGTTATGCCAGACGTTGCTTGAGAAGTTACAGAATATTTGAATACAGGATAGGCAGCTGAAGAAGTTCGAAAATGAAACACTATAGAATTAATTGCTAGATTAGCTTTTTTGTTCTTTATTGTGGTTTCACCTCTTACAGAAAAAAAAGACATGGCATAAATCTGAAAATTTTTGTTATACCTTTTCTTTTTAAAGCAATTTGGATAGACTTGGGTGCACTTAATTAATAACAGAAATGATAAGCGTCAATATCCATGATATATGCAGTACTCTTCTTTTGATTCTATACCTGCATAAGCTTAATCATATAAAGGGAATGGCAAAACCCTCCTCCCCTGAAATTTCATGTTATATCATTTTTTCCCACAAGGGATAGAGGAATACATTCTTGTTGAAATCAAATTTAGATAATCCTCCCCAGAGGTAACTTCTGGTCACAATTTGATATGCATCCTTCCAGAGGTTTTTCTCCAGGTTTACTCATATATGCTCATAGCTGCTATGTAATTTTGACTTGCTTTTATAAAAATGTTATTTACTCAATCTAGTCTTTTGTTTCTTGCTGTTTTCAGTATGACCTGGAGATATTTTCATGGCAGTATATATAAACTCACCCTATTTTTTTCACTGTTCTATATTATTCCACAGTGTTTGTATGTGTGTGTGTGTGTGTGTGTGTGTGTGTGTACTATAATTGGTTTTAGCATACTTGTATAAGTAAGCCCTTAATTTGTTTTCTATTGTTCATTATCACACTAAATATTTCAAAAGTCCTTTTATCATATGTAGAATATAAAAATTTTTGTTGATTAAATTTCATCCCTAGACTTAATAGAAGTTAATGTCATTTTAGTTAGCTGATAATTTAATGTCAAAATGTTCCTCTTAACAAGTCACTTAGATAAAAGTAGTAAAAGAATTAGTTTCAGAATCAATTCAGGTAAAATTAAGTACGATTTCTTGTTTTAATCAAAGATATTAAAATAGTCTGGTACATGTATCTTGGGACATGAAAGATCATTTTCATAACCATACCCTATATAGAAACTCGTGCTGTTGTTGAGAAGGTCATTAAAAAATACCTGGTTTTTACAGCTGTGATTATTAGCTCTTTTTTATAATGTTGTGAATTTTTAGTTCTGCTAATATAAACCAGCTTTACACTAATTGAGTTGGGAAAAAGTATAGGATAAATTTTGAACTGTCTTCTTTTTTTTCCAAGGCTAAGGGTTTGAAGAATTAAGATATTGGAACTTGCATAATTTTCCTGGCATATAAAGTAATTTATTCATCAGTGGATTTGAATTTTACTTATTTTTGTTTATGAATTCTAGGTTAAATGTTTTGAAAGTATTTACGTGTGTGTGTTCTTACGGATTTTACTGTATGGCTCATTATTTCATATCTTAGATCCTCTTTTGGTTCTAGTTCCATATTATTTTCTATGCTGAAAACATGTTTATTTTGTATTACATTCAATGCTGGCAACTATAAAAAATTAAAAGCATATTGCATTTTGAAGAAACTTGGTTGAGAAATACTCATTTCACCTCTGGTCTGTCTATAATACTTTGTCTAGTATCATTATTTGATACTCATTTAGAAAGAGAGGATTTAAAAGTTTCAGGCATTAGGTATTCTGATTTGCTTAAAACAATTAGGAATCAAATCAAGTATTCTACAAAGTTAATTAAATTTGTTACTGTAATATGTGAACTATATGAATTCTTTTATAATAGGAAACTTGGGTGTAAATACATTTCATATTGATTTCTATATTGATTTACTGATGAGCTTCATATTTACACAATGATGTTAAGGTAACTGAGGAGGAATAACATCTGATACATTAATTATATAAAATTTTATAACCAAGGAGTTCTAATATATATTGAAAATCAACTTCATAGTAATGTGGAAAAAAAATAAAGCAATTTAGATAGGAAAAACAGTCACTTTCCTGTCCTGGTAGGGTAGACACTTTTATAATGTAAATGTTGATGATTTGTCATCCATTATAGAATAAGAAACAATTTTTCTTTCCCCACTCTAAATTCAAGGATGAGAAGTTCATGGGATAATTATTTTATTATGCTTCTCTTTTAGGCAGCAACTTCTTATATCTTTTAAAGCTTTATTTTATTAAAGTACATAAACATTTGATGGGTGATTCATTAAATCATTAGGTAACTTGAAAACAAACCAAAATACTTCTAATTATTATTCCTAACAGAAGTTATGTGAGCATTCTTTGCATTTATTCATTCCCTAATTCAAGAAATATTGCTGAGTTCCTTCTCTATGCCAGGGACTGTTTTAGATAACAGCACTGACCAAAATAACCAAATCATTTCTTCAGTGGAGTATATATTCCACACTCATGCAGTGGTGCACATATGCAAACGATAAACAGGAAACTGAGGAGCCTAAAAACCCTAGCTTTTGGTTTTAAGGACTTTGTACTTTCACCTCTCTTACCTGTGCGGGTGTTTACTCAAATATGCAACTGAATGAGAGAAATCAGCCACATTCCTACCACTGTTTCTGGCCTCTATGTTTTTCTGGTTATCCTGGACTAGATAGGATTAGTTATTTTCCCCACTTCAAGTTGAATTAAGACATTTTTGAGTTGGAAAAAATGTTAGAAAAGATAGTGAAAATTCCAAATAAAGTAAGATAAAATTGACAAAATCCTAAAAAATGATGCATGTTAGGATACATTATTTTTGCAGTAACCTCAGCTTCCAGAAATATGAAGTAGACCTTTTCCCTTCCTATTCTTTTTGCTAAGTACAATTTAAGAAACGCTGGACATTATATATGAAACACACATAAGACCCTGAGTTCGAAGGAAAAAGACAGACTATCCAAGAATTGGATCCAAGTAACTACATAATGCTGGGTACCCGGGTTTTCTTTTTGTCTCATTTGTCCCAGACTAGTTGCTGCAACCCTAGATGCAACCAGAAATACCAAATACCAAATGGATGCAGGCAACAAATCCCAAGAAAATAAAAAACTAGGAAAGCCTCTGCCTAGTAAGACAGAAAACTGTTAGATAATCATCATTCTACTCCCACTAACTGTGGCCCCACCCGTAGCCCTACCAACCAAGGCTGGCTAGGGAGCCTAGACTTCTGCAAGGTACCCTCCTCTTCCCCATCGGGGCAGTCAGAGAAGGCTGAGTGGCTGAGTGGGGAACCAGGACTTCAGTTCCTTTTGGGTAGGAAGTCCTTTTCTAGCTGAGTGTCAGGACAGGCCCTGTAGGAGGCCTAGACTTCCACCCTCCCCTGATGATACTGAGATTCTCTTCCCTTTCCCTGCTGCTAAGTTGTCAAGGGATGTTTAATGGACATCAGGACTTTAATTACTGCTCAATACTAATAAGGTCAACCCCCTGCAGTGTCAGTGAAGGCCATTTGGGGAACACCTTACTTCTCCCACCAGAGTGATAATCAGTGAAGGCCTAGTAGGAAGCTGAACTCCCGAACATGTCCAGCAATAATGCAGCGATCGATCCTTGTTCCCCCATGCCCTGGTGTCAGTGGGGAGTGAGTCAGGCGCTTGGACTTCTGCTATACCTAGCTGCTCCCCTCTTTCCCTGCTGGTGTATTGTCATATCAGAGAAAGTCTGCTCAAACAGTATTTTAAATGTCCAAGTTTCAGTTGAAAATTGCTACCCATACCAAGAATCAAGAAAATCCCATTTTCAGAGAAAAAAAGGCAATGAACAGAAGCCAACACTGAGCTGACACCAAAGTTAGAATTATATAACATGGATTTTAAAGCATCCATCATAAGAATGCTTGATAAGCAATTATGAACATTCTTGAAACAAATGAAAAAAATTTGAAATCTCAGCAAAAGAGTAGACAGTTTTAGCAGCATAACAGATTATGTAAGGAAGAACAAATGGAAATTTTGGAATTAAATACAATAACCAAAATAAAAAAATGCATTGTATGGACTGAATAGCATACTGGAGAAGCAGAGGAAAGAATCTGTGAACTTGAAAATAGAGCAATAGAAATCACCAATTAGGAAAACAGAAGAAAATAGACTATAAACAAATGAACAAGGGATATAAGGACCTGTGGGATTACAACAAAAGCTCTAAAATTCATGTCTTAAGAGTCCTGGAAAGAGAGGAGAAAGAGATTAGAGCTGAAAAAATATACAAAGAACCAGTGGCTGAAATTTCCCTTAATTTGGCAAAAGATATAAAACTACATATTCAAGAGGCTAC